ACATATATATATATATATATATATATATATATACATATATATATATGAGTGTATACACACATATACATATATACACAATAAAACTATATTTATACATATGAAAAATTATGACTGCCACAATGATTAAATGCATTAACGCACAGGAAATGATTTGCATTTAGAAGGAGTACAACAACAGTTACCTGTCTTTCTCCTTTCCAAACTGCAGAAATCCTGCTATGGCTAACAGCAAGGGCATCCTTGTACGGATAGATAACCTAAGTTTTAAACTGTCTCATCTAGAAAACCACTTTCCTTATACTTCCAGGCTAACCCCCGCCCCCCATGAGTGTGCAGAATCTCTCTTCACATGACTATTCTATCTCTTCTGATTGCTTTACTGTGTGTTGCATGGGGCAGTAAGAAATGAGCTCAGAGATTCTGCTCTGTTTTTTGTTTATATTTTGAGATGGGAGTCTCATTACATATCTCAGGTTAGCCTTAAAGTCATGGCAATACTCCTGCCTAAGATTTCTAAGGATTGGGATTACTGACATAAAATACCAAGTCTAGCTAGATGCGGACTTTTTCTTTTCCTCTCTCTCTCTCTCTCTCTCTCTCTCTCTCTCTCTCTCTCTGACACAGGGTTTCTTTTTGTAGCCCTGGCTGTCCTAGAACTTGCTTTGAGGACTAGTCTGACCTTGAACTCACAGAGATTTTGTCCCTTCATTTCAGAGTGCAGGGATTAAAGGCATGCACCACCACCACCAAGCTGAACCTTTTCTTTTCAAAAGGCTATTTAAATTCATTGAAATTACATTAAAAAAACCTTTTTGCTTATTTTGAAATAGGGTCTTACACTATAAATGAGGCTAGTTTTGAACTCACTATATAGAGTAGTTTGGCCTCAAACTTGATTCAGAAACCAGATATTTCTGTGTAGGCCAGGCTATTCTTCCACTCACCATGTAGTCCAGGCAGGCTTTGAACTCATATACTCTTGCTTTAGTTTTATGAGTGCTGGAAGTACTTGCCTGGATAACACTTGATACATTCAAAGAATAATCCTAGCTAGGCTTGGTTGTCATGTCTAAATCCCAGCACTGAAAATGCTGAGGTGGGAGAGAACTGTCAAGTTCAAGGCTCAGCCTAAGCTACTTGGTTAGTTCCTGTCTAAAAATCAAATAGTAATAGGACTCATGGCCTGGAGAGATGGCTCAGGAGTTCAGAGCGCTGACTGCTCTTCCAGAGGTCCTGAGTTCAATTCCCAGCAACCACATGTTGACTCACAACCATCTGTGATGATCTAGATCTGTTGCCCTCTTCTGGCCTGTAGCGATACATGCAAGCAGACACCGTATAAATGAATGACTAAATCTTTAAAAAAGTAGCACGACTATCTATTAAGAAGTTAGCTTAAGGACTGGAGAGATGGCTCAGAGGTTAAGAGCACTGGCTGCTCTTCCAGAGGTCCTGAGTTCAATTCCCAGCAACCACATGGTGGCTCACAACCATCTATAATGAGATCTGGTGACCTCTTCTGGTGTTCAGGTATACATTCAGGCAGACAACTGTATACACAATAAATACACAAACAAATAAATGGTAAAAGGGAGGGGACAATCCCTTAAAAAAAGAAATTAGCTTAAGCCGGGCGGTGGTGGCACATGCCTTTAATCCCAACACTCCTGAGGCAGAAGCAGGTGGATCTCTGTGAGTTCAAGACCAGCCTGTTCTACAAGAGCTAGTTCCAGGACAGGCTCCAAAGTCACAGAGAAACCCTGTCATGAAACACTCCCCCCCCCCAAAAAAAAAGAGAAGTTAGCTTAAAATTAATATAGACAGGGAGTAGTTTCCAAGGATGTCAAATGACTCATTCCTTTCTCTTCTTGCAGCAGATGTAACTCTAGATCCAGCCACAGCCAATGCCTATCTAGTTTTGTCTGATGATCTGAAAAGTGTGAGACATGGAGTCACCAGACAGCAACTACCTGATAACCCAGAAAGATTTGATCAGTCTGCAACTGTGTTGGGAGCTCAGATCTTCACCTGTGGGAGACACTACTGGGAGGTGGAAGTGGGAAAGAAGACAGAGTGGGAAGTGGGCATCTGTAAGGATTCTGTGATCAGGAAGGGCAATCTCCCCAAGCCCCCTGGGGACCTCTTCTCACTTATAGGCTTAAAAATTGGTGATGACTACAGTCTCTGGGTTTCCTCGCCCTTGAAAGGTCAACACGTCCGAGAGCCTGTGCATAAGGTGGGTGTGTTCTTGGACTATGAGTCTGGACATATAGCGTTCTACAACGTGACAGATGAGACCCTCATCTACAGCTTCCCGTCAACCTCTTTCCATGAAGCTCTCAGACCCATCTTCTCCCCTTGTCTTCCAAATGAAGGGACAAACACAGACCCTCTTGTCATCTGCCACATCTGAGGGACATGCCCTGAGCCTTCAAAGACAAGGGCAAGGACCAGCCTAATGGCTGAGGTGGTTAGAGCATCCAAAGCCTTTACACATCAGACGAACTGAAAAGAAAAAAAGAAAAGAAAATCCTCCCTCCCCAGAGACTTCCCACCAATCCAGTTCTGCAGTGAAGAGTCAATTAAAAATCTATTCAACACCAAGAACAGAAAGCCGATCCCCTGCCTTTAACCCAGTTCGTTACCTGAGCTACCCTGTGTGTGCTGGCCACTCAACATACAGAATGACTATTGTCCTCTTTGACCTGTTGGTCTGTCATAGACCAGTTTTGTAAATACACAGCATTGTTTTCAGCCTGATTATTTGCTTTTCTAGCACTGTGCAGCTTGTGTTCTTGTCTACTATGTGTAGCTTTGTCTCTGTGGCCACCTCATGAGAGAGTTCTTCCATTGAGAGTGGGTGATGGAGTCTTGGGACTCAGCCTCCTTTGGAAAGCTACCTTTTTTCCATGAGGCCTGGAATACTCATCCTCAGGAAGGCTTACAAGTGTATGGTGCAGTTTGTATTTGTTGTGATCATCATCAGACTATTTATGTTACTATGATCTTAAGAGCCTAGACTTTTCTATAGTTTATTGCAGCTAAAGGTCTGGTTAATGAATGCATCAGCAACGGATGCCAAATGGCTTGGGTTTTAGCTGAGGGTGTCGGCTACACATGGAACTTGCTGAGAGTAGAGGTCTTTTAGTTCCTGGAAGGTGGGAACTAAACGTTCTCATCTCAGAATGCTGGGGTCTGGAAGGATGCAAGTGTGTCCAGGTGGAACTCCTTTGGATGAATCTCATGTCACCTTCAGGAAGAGGTCTGCAAACTTGCATCCCATTCTGTGGTCTTTACCTTTGACATTTTCCTGTCCCTCTTATTTAAAATAGAAATGTACCTTACACTGAAGAATGTCACCAATCATAATGTCATAGAAAAGACAAGCAAACTGATAGGACTTGACTACCACACAGCTGCCTAATTAAAGGTTTTCAGGGGGAAAATGTCATGGGTTTTATCTAAAATAGAAACTAGATGAAGAGAGAGAGAGAGAGAGAGAGAGAGAGAGAGAGAGAGAGAGGGAGAGAGGAGAGAGGGGGGGTCTTAATCTTGATCAGGACATGGTGGTGCGTGCCTGTAATCACTATAATCACAATTCACAGTGGGGATGGAGGCAGGAGGATCAGGAATTCAAAATCAGTTTTGATTACACAGTAAGTTTGAGGCCTAAAATTCATGGGACCTTGTTTCAATAACAAGACAACAACAACAAAACAAACCCTATTTACTCAGCATGCAAGGTCCACATGAATTCAGTAACTGGGGTTTGTGTTATGGTTCATGTTCATCCTTTTCATAGACCTAAATCTTCTTTCTCTTTTACTGTAATACACTTCAACTTTGTGCCCCAGAAAGGTAGGGAGCAGATGTGAACCAGGCTTCAGATGACAGAAAACACTCTTCTCTGTGTTCACACTTAAATTTCATTCTGTCATCACATATATAGTAACAATCAATGAATGGGGATGGGGTGGCACCACCTCTTTAGATGACTTGTAGATTTGTTTTATATTTACTATTAAATTAAATAGCTCTTCTTCCCCTCCATCCCCCATCCCCGCCCATTGGTTTTTTTCGACAGGGTCTCTCTGTGCAGCCCTGGGTGTCCTGGAACTTGCTCTGTAGACCAGGCTGGCCTTGAACTCAGAGATCCTGCTGCCTGCCCCTGCCCCTGCCCCTGCCCTCTGCTGGGACTGAAGGTGAGCAGCACCACACTTGATCAATTTACAATTTATGTTGTCACTCCCTTACTGTGAACATATAATGTGTTCTGTTTGTAGCTATACCACATGTGCACAAGCCTTTGAGTGTGTCTAAGGGTTCCCCAGTTGTGTTTCCTGGCAGACCCCATGTCCTGTGCTTATAGCTGCACACATATGCATATGTTCCACAAAGGCTTAGGTATTCCCAAGGACTTTTTTTTTTTTACTTCTGCATTGACTCTTTGGGGGTTTCACATCATGCACCCCAATTCTGTTCTCCTCTTGGTTCCCCGATATTCCCCCCTCATCTGTGTTGCATCCCCCCCACCATGAAAGAAAACAAAGCAAGGAAGCAAGCAAACAAAACCAAGAAAAAAGAAAAAAACTCATTAAACCAAAACAAAACAAAAAGCCGAATGTGAAACAGCAAAATTTCTGCTTCTTCTCTCCTGCCTCTCCATCACCTCTTCTTCAGTCCTGATGACACTGAGGGCTTCGGTATGTCATATAATATAACTCTTTGTCCCATCAGCTTTAGTGGCAACTGTCCATTGCAATGAGTCATTGGTCTGGTTCAAGGCCTCTGGTTTTTGGTATACCACCCTCACTGGATTTTCACTGGAGCTCTTCTGGGGTATCTCTGTCTTGGAGATCTTGTGAGTATCTTTCCACAGGACCAGTCCCTTCACCAGCTCCAGCAGGATGTAGACGGTGTATATGCCAGGTGGGCCAACCCATGGCCCAGTTGTGGGCCTGAGTGTTAGCCAGTCAGGGCCACCTACCTCCCGTGTGGTGGACAGATTCAGCTCTCGTATATGCATGCCCTCAGGGTAGGTTCATCCTTGCCTATGGTGAGGGATGGGGCCCTCTCTCTTTAATGCAGGGGCCAGTTATCTTGCTATAGTGGACAGGGAGAGGTAAGGCCAGATTTCCCAGGGCAGTGAAGAGCAGGACAGGCTCAGTATAGCCGTCTGATTTCATCTGCATGATTCCTAACACCTCCTGAGGTGCCACTGGCCACAGACATTGACACAGACCCCAGCTGCAGTTGGATCATGGCCCCATACTTGGCCCTTAGCCATACCTTAGGCCTGGATAACATCCTAGCTCTGGATGGAGGGAACCGCCAGTCAGGTGGGAGTTGTTCCGGCAGCGGTGTGGTCGCCAGACAACACCAAGGCCTCAGATTGTAGCTCCAACCCTTGGCCTCTATGTGACCATTAGTGGCAGTGCAGGACTTGGACTTCGGGCCAAAACCCCAGCCCTGTTAAGACTATGGACCCCAACATGGTTCTTATCAGCAGCTGGGTCTGGACGTCACCATTGCCCCCAATGGCAGTATGGCCCCGAGACACTAACTTGACCCTTGATCTTGGAGGTCTGCATGGCCTTTGATGGTAGCAGGAGCATTGGACATTGGCACAGATCCTGGCTGCAGATGGGCCACAGAATCTGCCATGGCCCTCAGTGGCAGATCGGGCCCAGATGTTGTCATATCATTGTGAGTAGCAGCGCAGGCCACTCAGATATGGATGCATCCTGGTCCTCAGTCACCAATCCAGACTCAGATTTCTGGTTTGACCCTGTTCTTCTTCATGGTGCTCAGTAGCAACTGGAGCCACATATGTCAATTCTGACCCTGGCCAATACAGGGCCACAGACCCAGATATGGCCCCCGGCAGCAGCCTGGGCCGGAAGACACCCTAGTCATGGGTGATAGCACAGGCCATCCATGTCTGTAAGGCCCCTGGTGTGGCGTGGTCCCCCTGACTCCACTTAAGCCACAGGCTCTGACTCAGTCCCTGGGGCCTCTGTATGGGCCCTAGTGGTAATCTGTGCCACAGAGTTCAATGCAGACCCCAGCCACTGCTAGGCCACGGATCCAAACATGGCTTCAGGCAGCAGCTTGGCCTGGTCAACATCCTTGTTCCAAGTAGGTATCTCTGGGCACTCAGATCAGGATGGCTCTGATGGTAACAATGCCCCTGGACACCAACAAGAACACAGGATGCGGCCCAGATCTCAGATTTCATGTAGCACCATGGGGACATGGGTATCATTATGGATCTCTACTGTGGTAAGATCACGGGCATAGACATGGTCCTCAGCAGCAGCCTAGGCCTGGATGTTGTTATGGCCCCAGGTGACAGCAAAAGCCACCGAGAACACCCAGTGGCAGCAAGGCCGGTGAACCCAATCTCAGCCCCAGGAGGCAGCCCAGCCCACTGGAGTCAGCATGACAATGGCAACAGGAGCCGTGGTTATAAACACAGAACCTGGCAACTGTAGGACCAGAGTCCACATATGGACCTTGGTAGCCACCTGATCCAGACATCGCCATGGTTCCGGGTGGCAAGCAGATATCCCTCCTTAGTCAACTCCTCACTGCTGTCACCTTGGACCCAGGTAGTAAGCTGACATCTGCCTAAACCTCTACCTTCCTTCCTTCATGTGTTTTTCCATGGCACATGAACGAGTCTGCTTCTCTCACTCTCCCAATACTCTGCCATTGTTTGCTTAAAATGAGAGGACTCAGGTGATAAGTTGACCCCTGGCTGTTTTCCTGCCAGCCTGGGCCCAGGGACCCAACCTGGTTTTCTTCTGTCTGCTGAGAGGATCCCGGCTAGGTCCCTAACCCCAAGGATTTTACTCACTTTTTATCTTCGCTCCTTTGTATTAATGGAGCAGAGAGAACAGATCTTAGATAAGGGAAAGAGTATGCTCTCTGTTTCATCTTCCAAGAAATACTGCCTGGCTTCATGGCTCACACCATTAATCCCAGCACTCGGGAGGCAGAGGTAGACAGAGTTCAAGGCCAGACTGGTCTACACAGAGCTGCAGGACTGCAAGGGTTGCATAGACAAGCGTATTTTTAAAAACCAATATAACATCTCAACTATCAGAAAGTGATTTGCTCCTCTAAAAGGTGCTAAGTATCTACTTAGTGTGGGGATTTTGTGAGAAGAGGGGACAATGCATTTTGTTGGTTCTTCTCTGCCTTCCTAGTGACCACTTCAAAAAATTATTCTGCATTGGACATCGGCACAGATCCTGGCTGCAGATGGGCCAGAGAATCTGCCATGGTCCTCAGCGGCAGCTCAGGCCCAGATGATGTCATATCATTGTGAGTAGATATGATTAGATAATGATTAGTTCAATGGGGTCTGCATTGAACTCTGTGGCACAGATTACCATTAGGGCCCATACA